AATTTCAAAGGCACATGTCTTTTCTGAACATCTGAATCAGATCTCTGAATCCCATAGTGCAAAAGTTCTACATTGCAAAAATAATAATGCTAATATCAGTGAAAAGAGTGTTGGAAAAACATTGTATCAGACCAACTTTATATCTGGTTAGGTGACTCCACTTTTCCAGGGATCAGCAATGCAGTATCAGGAGCAGCAGACAGCAACATGTTCAGTCACTAACCATTAAGTCACTGCAGGCACTTCAGTCAAGACACAATTTCACCTTTCTACAAATAGCATCTTTATTTTTAAAACTCATACAATACAGGTTATTTAACTCCCACAGGTTCCCTATAATTATCAGGTTAGCATCCTTCTTCAACCACAGACAAAAATAATTCACACAGAATCATCATCCATAAACATTTCAACAAGGATGTGGCAGGAAAAAGAAATAGGACCCTACTATGATTAGATGCGAGCATTTGGGTTTGTAATGTCTTTCCAAGAGCCTGCAGTGCTCAAAGGAGTGAGGCCAATTGTCACAAAGCTCTGGAGTGTCAGGGTCAAATGCTGTTTCTCCCCAGCTCAAATTCCATGATATGAATGAAAATTCAGTTTTGTGCAGCTCTCATTTAGTTCAGTGGAGCACACTCAAAAGTTTCCCGTTTGTATGACTTTTTAATTTATTGATTATTTTCTGGTCCTCCAGCTTCTAAGATTAATTTGGGGATGACATTCCAGTTGAGGGTTTCAGTCCAAATGACAGTAAACACTTTGACTCTATATCCTCTACAGAAAAAATCCAGACCAACTCAACATAAACATGGCATTAGATGAAAACGGCGCTATTCCCAGGACATCAAAGGTGCAAAATAACACCGCACGTCCCAATTTGAACCACTGAGACTAGAGGAGAAGGATGAATCATGAGGTTTTTCTCCTAATTCCAGCCTCTAGCGGCGATGGGGTATTTCACACATGCTCAGGAGCACCCTTTTTGTTCCATTACTTTCAAGATGGAACACAAAAACAGTTTCCAGAACAGAAACCGGGTTCAGCTAGAACGAGCCCAGAGAAGCACCAGCACTCTCCCCCACCCACTCCTGGCCAGGCGCAGACCCAGCTTTTGCTTCACGCGGCGGGCCTGCGCCGCGCCGCTCTTCCCCTCCTGCCGGGAGCCCTGCGCGGGATCCACGCCGCAGCTGCCTCGGCCGCGCTCCGCTTCCCTCACAGCCGCGCGCCCTCGCCCCGGCCTTACCGAGGGTTGCAGCGACCAGGCTGCAAAGCACCGTCCCCACCAGGGCCCAGCTTCCCATCGCCGTTGTTCTGAAGGGATTCCAGATGCCCGGCCGACGCTGCGGAAAGGGGCGGGCGCGGAGAAACTGGATCCGGGGAGACGCCTCCTCTTCTCCCAAGAAGGGAAGCGCAAACCGCGGTGGGAGGCCGGAGCGAGCTCTCTTCTTGTGTGCCGGGTAGGGCTGTCAGAGCTGCGGGGCCTGCTACGGGATTAGCGAAGACCGTAATTTTCCTTCCGAGGTGGTTTGGTCGGCAGCCAAAGGGGTGAACTACGGGCATTTGTTTTCTCTGAGAGTCCCAAACTGAAGCATTGGCCGGGGGGGGGGGGGGGAGGAAAAGGAAAAAGCAAGCCAG